TTAACCTAGATGTCAACCTCCCGTTCCTACTCGATTATGATAACCTACTGCTCGGTTCACTACTAGGTTGAAGCTAGGTAACTAGGTAAAAAGGTACATTTAGCTAGATCCATCAAGTGAATAACCGCCCGGTTACGTGTGTGTTGGAGCTAGATCCACTCCACAGAGAATTTTTGCTTGGGTAGTATGATCTGGAAAAAAGTTTAGTTGATAAAGTCTCACATCTAAATAACAGCAAGCTGGATGACGAAACCCAACATCACTTTGTGCTAATTTTGCTTTTCTATTTCGTATAGGTTCGGATTTTGTCATTTACACACATTCACAAGGCCTATGTCGGGTCGAAAACATCTAAGGAAATGATCTGAATGAATATGAACTCCACGACGGGCCGATTTCAAGCTTTATGCGAACGAATTTTTTTCTAAAACAAGCTGAATATTAACCGAAACAACTTTCGGAAGATCAAGTTCTAACACCTAAATAAGTTTGCTAGATTTCAACACCCATTGCCTTCATACCCCCTAACTTTTACGTTCTTTATGGATGACTTCTTATTGAATGAGTTGGTACCAAATGATCCTCAGCTAACACAATGTTACCATAACCTCGGCAACATTGCTGCAATGACAGAAGAGTACGATAAAGCTTTTTGTTATTTAAGCAAAGCCCTCGAACTCGATCTGAAAACGGTACCAATCGACGATTCCTCAACAGGAATCACATACATGACCATTGGTAATGTATATCAACTAAAGGAAGATTATGAAAATGCACTGATATATTATAGGAAAGCGCTCGATCTCAAACTGAAACCCGTTGGCCAAATAGATTTAGAAACGACCACGATTTATATGAATATTGGTATCGCTTACTGGAGACTACGAAATTATGATTCAGCAGTCGAGAATTTAAATGAATGTTTACGTGTTCGAGCAACGATTTATCCCGAGGCACATCCAGATCTGGCCGAAACATTGGTGAATATTGGGCTTGTAGAAAAAGCTAGAGGAGAATATGCTAACGCTTTGTCGTTGTACAACAAAGCACTTGAGATTCAACTGACATGTCTTCCTGAAAATCATCCTCATCAAGCTGCAACATACATGAATATAGGCGCAGTGCAAGGTGAATATGACCAAAATTATGAATCGGCATTAGCAAGTTTCGATCGTGCATTGAATATATTTAGAATATCTATGCCACCGTCACATGTATACATCCAAATAGCAGAAGAGAACATTGAAGAAATTCGCGGCAAAATGGCATGAAAATCTGTTCTACGAGATAAAAACCGTCTAATCAAGAAAAAGTGGGAGTATTCCTTGGGGGGGAAATGCACCACTTTGCCCCTTCACTTCACATGAAACCCACTTAACTTTAGCCAAGTCAATCTGTGACATTGTTATCTCAATGGGGTTTTCCGATTTTTTATGTCTGACAAATCTATTTATTGCATCGCTCTCAGTTTTAATGTTAAAAATGGCATCTAGTCACGGAAGCGGATGATGAGAGACCAAAAGCATTGCTACCTTTTACTGTTAGTTCAGAAGCGCGTTTTAGTGTTTTGGAAATGACAAGCCAGAAGAGTTTTTCGAAAAAACACTACCAGACACCTTGTTTGATCAAATCATAAAATTTACGAATAATTTTGCTGTTATTGGATTACAAAATAAAATAAACGAAAAAAATGCATTATTTACTATGCTTGAGTTGAACAAGAGGAACATGAATAATGAAGATGGTATTCATTGAAATTATGAGAAAAACCAACGAATTTTCAGAAAATTTTTTAAAAGAAGCAAGTCTGATTAAATTCATTCCTAATAGTATCAGCGAGAAACTAATGCATATAATGCCTATACGTCCACATTTGATAGCTACGCAAAAGACATGCAAACAGACAAAAGCAGATTTATGCTGGACAGAAAATGGTGTTTTACCTGATAAACTAACATTATTAGATTCGAATATTTTGACATGATTCGAAATATGTGATCAACCAGAATTAGAAACAAAAGTACAATGTATACAAAAAGTTTCCCAACGTTTTTCAAATATTAACGAAATCACTAAAGAGAACTATTTGAATTTATTAAGTTTATGTCAAGAATGGTGTCGCGCATTTATTGCGACCGATGAAAAAAGTAAAGCAAAATTGCAAAATTTAAAATTCATACCTGTGAAGTGAACAAATGTACATGATAAGTTTAGTGCCATATTAGTGGCACCGAAGGATATTTTTATATCAAATATGTCATGGTATAAGACGATATGGCCATATTTATTCGCTATTCATCCAGACAATGACGAGTACAAAAGTGGCATCGTGCAATTTCTTCGATTATTTCCTGTTCCAA